CTTTTTTCGTTTTTCAAACTTTTCAGCCGTACATTTCACTTTCAAACTTTTTAAAGGGCATATTCGTGATCAGCTCGACGAGCTCTATTTAACCATGTATAATTCGATAGGATTCATTTTTGGACGGACCTTTTGAATTAGCGGCACCTTACTTAAAAAAATATCGTTAAACTTTTGAGCACGGAGCTATTATTAAAAAATTCAGCAGTCAAAAATGAATTTTAAAACTTCTATGATGGTCTACTTTACCTAAATGTCCTTTTTCATCGGTCATCATCGGTTTTCTCATTTTAGCGAGAATTTCATCATGTATTTGATTGGTACGTAAAATAGGTGTTTGTTCGTATGGAGAGATAAGTAATGGTGGTTGACGTTTTAATACTTTCTGGCGAATTTCTAAAAGAGAAAATGACATTAATATACAATGCCGTTGCTGTGATTTAGATTTTTACTGAATAAACTATATTGTGTCAACTTATTAAAATGAAACAGATCACCCCTTGTATAACAAACATCGCAGCCATATTCAGTCATATAGGATTTCATATTTTCCATTTTGCATTGAGATGGTTTGTCATTACAAGAGGCTATTGTGTACAAGTATAATTTTGTTGTCCGCTCTAATTCCGGTATATAGTATTCACATCCTGCTTCGAGCTCCACTAATTCAGCTACCAGAATTCGAGCTGATGTTTGAAGTTGTTTAGTTGTGGGAAGTTTACCAGTTGGCCAAATTAGTGGTAACACGATGTTTTTTAACATAAATCGCCCTTTTATTGGTAATTCATTCAAAACTAACATAAATGACCATATTCCGACTCCTAAGCAAAAGTAGTAAAAATAAGACTTGAAATACTGTTCGTTAACGATTGTCGGAGGACAATAACTGCAAGTTTTTTCTTTCCTTTTGGAACGTACTCTTTTATTTTCAAATGCTATTTTAAAAATATTCGTGGCCATTCCAGATTTAAAATAGTTACTATGCTTTCTTTAAGAAGTTCAACACCATCAGAATTTAATAACAGTGTTGCACATGAATCGGGGCAAGATTCAAGTATTTTAGCATAATGTGTGTGCGAATAATTATTATCAATATCGTTACATGCTGCACATATTTTTGTGTACGTATTAATAATATTTGTTGTATTTGGCGTTGAATCAATGAATAATAAAATATTGTTGTATCATTTTTTCCACATGAGCATTTTATCTTATCCACTGTTTCACATAAATTACAATAATAATAAGTTTGATAAACAGCATTCAAATTACGATCGGATAATGTATATCTATTCGAAGCATATCAGAAAAATGTGCGGTATAAATAATAATAGAGTATATTAAAAAAACTTACTTAATTGCATCCCAGCTATAAGGAACATTTTGGTAGTATGGAGATATATTTTTCAATCTTGCGTCACGTCAATCACTTTGCGTACGAAATTTGTTGTTGTGTTGGTGATACCGCATCGTGCTTTAAAAATCATCAAGGCCGAAGTCCATTTTCCCTTTAACGGTATATCTTGTAATATGTCTTAGAACAGAAAAAGCAATGTCAAACTTCTAATTCAACACAAATAAAAATCTTCGTATCGACACTATCCATATCGTTTCGAAAACCAAAAACAATATCAGCTAACTGAGATGGAAAACCATTATCACCGTCAGATTCTTCAGTTTCACTTTTGTCGTCTAAAGAAGAGAGATCATGGACAATTCGCATTCGCGGCGAACTAAGTTATTCTTTACTGTTTTGTTCGGTATGCAACATGTCTTCATGCTGGCTACAGACTTACCATGTTTATTTTTTTCTCGCATTAGTTCAAGTCAGAATCGATTGCGAATTCTCTATTATTTTGTGACGAGTTTAGATCAGCATCTAGATCAGGTAGCGATTGATTGCGAATTCTCTGTTATTTTGTGACGAGTTTAGATCACCACCTAGGTTAGGTAAGGATCGATTGCGAGGTATAGATGCTGATGGTTATCGTCGTTCCCTTAAGTCTCTACCCGCTAAGCCTGTGAACGCGATTTGGTTCGCAGATGGCGAAGCTCTTGTAGCTGCTAATGCTGATGAGTACCTCTTCAGGTAGAAAGTATGGGTTTTCAGGCTATCCATTCTAGATGAACACGTATTCAATTAGGTGAATCTGACTGTTTCCATTTTCGAAATGCAACGGTAAAATGGCAGCGCAATTCACACAAATATTAAATACCTTCGCTTAAGTACTAGGATAAAGATGTTGACTTTCGACGATGACAGCAGTGGCGTAACTAGGATTTTTTTACGATTTGGCCAACTGCCTTAGTTAACAAAAACCGATTGGACCATAAAACCCATTTTTCAAAAAGTTTTAGCTGGAGAAACCACAAAAGTTCAAAATCATATTGGGTCAAGGCTCGAATCCCATTGGGCTATGGCCGAATGTCGGGGGCGGCGCCCCGGGGGGGGGGGGGGGGGGGGGGGGGCGGGGGGGGGGGGGGGGGGGGGGGGGGGGGGGGGGGGGGGGGGGGGGGGGGGGGG